GAGATGATAATAATAATTTGTGATACATTTTTAAACGTTCAGTTGACTGAATTTCACGTTTAATGAATCAAAGAGACAACAACAATAGCAACAGCAACAAGTGACAATAATGACAATAACAACAACAACAACAATAACAGTTATAACAACTCTTATCTGGCTGACCTTTCCTGAGAGGCCCTGCTGAAGACAGGTGTGGGTTGCTAGTTGTGCTGCTGGGGGTAAGGCTAACAAGCGGGAAGCGGATCTTGGGGGGACACAGGAGCGTAGGCGGTCCCGGGGTCGCGGGCGAGAAGCTGAATAAGGGGGAGCTGTAACTGGGCCGCCGGCCTTCCCGCCTGTTGCCGTCGATGGCGGCCTGCAGCTCAGCAGGCGAGCTTAAGGACTTCTTCTCACATTCATAGGCGTAGAGGTACTTCATATACCTGGGGAGAGGAAGAGAAGAGGCTCAGCTGGGTCAGGAGGCTGCGTTTGGGTGCAAGAGAAGGAGACGAAGCGGCAACGCATCTTGCTAGGTGCAGGACAAAGAAAGGCAGAGCCTGGGGGGTGGAGGAGTCAAGAGAGGAATCAACCTGGAATCATTACGTTGTCGCAAACGGCCTAAATTTAATCCCTCTTGAATTCGGTCAGCTCTTATCTGGTGCCAGTTTGATTGACTATAGATTTTCGGGTAAAGCATGAGCGATACATTAGCTTGGCCCAAATGTCCTCATTCTTCACACCTGATAATAAGCCACTGTAGAATGAGTACTGGCCTAAGAAATAAGCCATGATCCACAAACCCAACCGCTGGGTTTCTTCCCCCGGTTATGTGGCCACAGACAAAGAAACAGGATTGCTTAATGTGGAAGTGAGCAACTTCAGTTGGCCAAAGATGTTGGCCAATTTTGGGCATGCCCGTCTTAATGTTGCCGCGTTTGAGAGACACAGCCAAGATGGGGTGAATTCACCTATTCTCTAGAGCAGGTGTCAAACTCAAGGCCCGTGGGCCAGATCTGGCCTGTGGGATACTTAGATCTGGACCACGGGACCGCTCTGAAAACAGTGAAGGATTGGCCCGAGTGCTCTGCCCGCAAAAACGGGCTCCCAAGTTCTGATAAACCAGGACGATACCAGATAAAGTCATGTTTGCTCCCAACAACTCGCTGCGCGCAGCTTCCCTTTTTTAACACTGTGTTCCCAGCTGCAGCTAATAAAGGGAATCAGGGCCGTTTCCTTCCCCGTAAGCCACGCAACTCACGTTGCTCCCTTCTCCGTTCCTCCCTGCGTGCCGTAGAATGAAGAGAGGTTGGGTCTGGGTCTTCCCCTGAATTCTCTTCTGCCTTGCTCTGCCTCTTCCCTGCTCTGCCCAGCTGGACTGTGCCCTTCTCCAGTTTCCTCCACAACCAATGGAGCCACACTCCCACTCTGTCAGCTGCTCGGCCTCCCCCTTGGAATCAGACTCCGACAGGGGAATGACACCCCTGCTCTAGAGCTTTTAATATCCTGGGCTGAAGACAATCAGGTCAGATGCTACATTGAAGCAAGCGGTACGGAAACACTTTAGGGCAGGGGTGTCCCTCCTTGGCAACTTTAAGACCCGTGAACTTCAACTCCCAGACACCAAGGGACCGAAGGCATCTGACTCGTCTTCCTGTAATGCCCATCATCCCCGGCCCTGCCAGGACCTACTGGGTGCGAAGGGTGAATGCTGCACTGGTGATGGAGGTGGGGAGGTTAAGGCCTTTGGTGATCTCCCTCCAGATCTTCTTGTTGATGATCTCCACCAAGCCTCCTTTCTCCGTCACCAGCTTGTAGAGCATATAGAGGTCGAGGATCTGCTTGGCCATGATCGGGATGCGATTGATGGGTGTCCCTGAACGACAAGGCGGAGGGAAGAGAAAGAAAGAATAAAAAAGACAACAGGTTAGCAGGAGGCCTCCTAGGTCCGTGATGGCGAACCTATGGCATGCTTGCCACTGGTGTCACACAGAGCCATTTGTGTGGGCACGTGAGACTCAAGCAAACTTACCTCACTGCGCATGCACGCGCCTCCCAGCTGATTTTCAGGCCTTTTTTGGCCTGCCAGAGGCTTGAGGGAAGCCTCTGCAGGCTGAAAAATAGGCCCATTTCATCACTTCCTGTATTTCTGGAGGTACTGGAAGTGATGAAACGGGCCCATTTTTCGGCCTGCAGAGGCTTCCCTCAAGTCTCTGGCAAGCCCAAAAAAGGCCTCAAATGGGCTGAAAATCAGCTGGGAGGCGTAGTGCAAGTAATGGGGGAGGGAATCGCGCATGCATGCGCAGGGGGCATGGAGGGCCACGCACAGTGCCTTCGGGGTACTGGCACGCGAGCGCGCGGCACACAAGTGCACCCGCCATTTTTGGCACAGGAGTCCGAAAAGGTTAGCCACCACTGTCCTAGCTTGAGCCACTTCTACGAACCACTGAGAGCTCCTCATTTCCTTCCACGAAAGAAGGTATTTTCCATCAGGATTTTAGACTTGGGTGCCTTTAACATTCATGGCTTTTTAATTCAAGGCAAACCTAAGGAAGCACCAACTAATTGTATTCCATGTCGTTGTTTCTTTTGCCCGGTATCCAACGGTATGTTCTACATGAAGAGTCTCCAAGCTTGGCAACTTTTAAGATGTGTGGACTTCAATTCCCAGCATTCCCCAGCCAGGAATGCTGGGAATTGAAGTCCATACGTCTTAAAAGTTGCTAAGCTTGGAGACTCTTGTTCCACCCCGCAAAAAAACCATTGCTTCTTCATCTTGTGAATGTTAAGATGGGTGGACTTCAATTCTCACGGTTCCCTAAGTGGAGCCAAGGGGTGGGATGCTACCGGTTTGGCCAGGTTCTATAGAACCGGTAGCTCTGAAGAGCAGCAGACACCAAACCAGTTCGGCGCGACCACCTTTTGGGTCGTCTTGTTTGGCTCACCCATCTGCCCGGGTTCTTGGCGGTCCTTCATTTCCTGCTTTTTCAATTTCAGCTGCTTTGCATGGCACAGCTGAGTTTGAAAAAGCAGAAAAGGAGTTTTTAACACTGCACAGCACTTTTCAGCTGTCCGGGCGGCACAGCTGATGTTTTTTGGCAATTATTTTACATGCGCGCGCAGCAAAACGCACTCTGACCGAACCAGTCGTGACATTGGTTGAGTCGTAACCCCCTAGTGGAACCACCATGAAATGACAGACCACTAACAGCTGACCTCTGACCTGCCCCTCACTTTGATCTGAAATCCCTGACAACCCAAAGACTGACCATTCCTCTTTTCACTAGGCCCTACTGGACACAGCTACCTTCCCATCGATCAAAGTCACACAACGAGTGGTGGGATTCAAGATTTTTTTACTACCGGTTCTGTGGGCGTGGCTTGGTGGGCGTGGCAGGGGAAGGTTACTGCAAAATCCCCATTCCCTCCCCGCCCCACTAACCCGCTTTCCAGCTCCGTTCTCCTGTGCAGGGCAACCAAAGAAGACCCCAAACCGATCAGTTGGGACTCTGGGAGGAGGCAGAGAATAGATGGGGTTGGCGGGGCCAGTCAGAGGTGGCATTTGCCGGTTCTCCAAACTACTCCAAATTTCCTCTACTGGTCGGAACTGGCTGAACGCCACCTCCGCACACACAATTCTTGCTTTCATCCTTGACACAAAATCAATGAGTAGATTTGATCTTAGGACGTGAGAAATGCATATCGTATATTCTTCAAGCAGCAAAGGAGATGATTGTGTTGAAGCTTTGGCATTGCTTTAGCGTTTTATAAACCAATCTAGCCAATGAAGGACAATGCTCTGCAAAGAAAAATAGGAAATGCCACAGATAAGAGCCAGCTTGACAGGAAAGGGCGAGAAATCTCCCAAAGTTGAGAGATGTTGCCCGTAAGACTGATTTTCCTGTAAGTTGGGCTCAAGGTCCAAAGGAGATAGTTTTGATGTTCTGCTCTGCTTGAGATAAGAAAAGATAACTTTTTAGTCTCCTCTAGGATTGTTTTTTAATGCTTTTCACCACTTATAATGTCTCAAAGCTTGGCAGATTAACGTGCCTCTGGGTTATTTACGAAAGCTTCAGAGCTCCTCTTCTCAACGAGAAGGTTTGCTGATTAAAAATTCACACACTGTGATGTTTTGGCTTGATGTTGAAATTGCTAAGTCACAAGTGGAAGATTGTGGTTTGCTTTTTTTTTTTTAAGCTTAGTGAGGGATGTCCCTGCCTCTGTCGCAGAGGATGTTCAGAAGGCCACATATATGGTGCCCATGTGTGAAAAGAGAACCTTTTCTATAGGATGGGCGTTAATATTGGCTTTTGAGAAGACCTAGAAGGTCAAGTTGGCTAAAGAGCGTGTTAATAATAATAATAATAATAATAATAATAATAATATAGGAAATACTAAATGCTCTGATGGTCATTTCGAAAAAAAATCCTTTCTTAGCGAGCCCCTAGAAGCCAAGAGGAACATACAGGCCAAATTTCAAATTTGTAGGCTTTACGGTTCTGGAGATTTTGTGACGATGTGTGAGTGGGTATTTCGCTTTTTTTATTTTATTTTTGAATAAATTTTATTGAATTTACAATTAAAAAAAACATAACAACATTACATATGCAACAGAGAGAGAAAAAGAAGAAAGAAAGAAGGGAAAGAGAGAAAAAAAAAACGCTCAGTCTTGCGACCGAAAAAGGAGAAAAAGAAGTATAAAAGAAAGAAAAAAACAAAGAGACGGAAGAAAAAAGAAAATACGTTAAAACCAGACAGATATCCTTTTTGACAGTCTGCAAGATCCAATTCTCCTACCTTACTTTAAATATACACATCTTATCACTATTTATGCTTACATTACCCATTATTCAGGTATTTCGCTTTTATATATAGAGATAGATAGATAGATAGATAGATAGATAGATAGATAGATAGACAGATTGATTTTAAAATAAAATTTGGGGAGAAAAAGGTGAGAGGGAGGGAAATGGATTGGCCTTCTTTGGGGAGGTCTGCACCCTCACGAGCCATTCGCAAGCACAAACACACACACACACACGCCGTAAGTGTGGAAAGGTCCCCCGTATGGGGTGCCCCCCCCGCCTCCCCTTTTCCAGGCCCAGGCGCCCACCCTTGCGTGCAACCTCCTGCTTGGAAGGGACCAGTGATAAGTTGTTCCCAGGAAGCTCCCGGTGCTGAAAACGGGGAAAGCCAAAAAAAATGAGTATCTGGGGAATGGGAGGCTTTGGTGATCTTTTCACAGCTGGCTGCAAGGCCTGTCAAGAGCTCGTGATGGATGACTGTCATCTGGCAGGGCGGGGATTAATGATCCGCGGGTCAGAGGGGAGAATTCCAGCGGGAAAGGTCAACGGCCACAGTAAAGACTTGTTGCTGGTTTGATAGAGGGGCCTTTTTTTTTTTTTTTAAACTGTACTTTCCAGCCTTTTCTCTCGTTCCCCTTTTCCAAACCTGCGTCGGGGACCATGGAGAGTTTGCAACGCTGCGAAATCTGTCAAGGATTTACTCATCTCCAATGACCTAAGTGCTAGAGCCCACTGTAACTCCATAGCCAAAAAGGCGTTAAGAGTTGTTCACCTAATCCTACGTAGCTTTTTCTCTGGGAATATCACACTACTAACTAGAGCATACAAAACATTTGCTAGACCAATACTCGAATACAGCTCCATCAGTCTGGAACCCACATTACGTATCTGATACTAACACAGTGGAGAAAGTCCAGAAATATTTCACAAGAAGAGTTCTCCACTCCTCTACTCGTTGCAGAAGACCTTGTGCCACCAGACTTGAAATTCTAGACCTAGAAAACCTAGAACTACGCCGCCTTCGGTCCGATCTAAGTATAGTATATAAAATCATACATTGCAATGTCCTACCTGTCAATGAATACTTCAGCTTCAACCATAACAACACAAGAGCAAACAACAGATACAAACTCAAGGTTAAAATCACACCAAACTCGACTGCAAGAAATACAACTTCAGCAACAGAGGGGTCAATGTCTGGAATACTCTACCTGACTCTGTGGTTTCTTCCCCAAACCCCCAAAACTTTAACCTTAGACTGTCTACTATTGACCTCACCCCTTTCCTAAGAGGTCTGTGGAGGCGTGCATAAGTGCACCAATATGCCCACCGTCCCTGTCCTATTGTTTCTTTTATAAATATTTATTTATTTATTTTTCTTATATGTGTCCATGTATTCATAACTATGTTTTTACCTATACCTATTATCCTGTAAGCAATTGACAAATAAAAATAAATAAAAAAAATTAAAAAAAAATCCAAATCTTGGTTAGAGGAGAGGAGAGGTCAGCCCTTGCTTCTTCGCCTTGGGGTGTAATCTGTACATCCCATTCCACTGCTGGATCTTCTCGCGCCTCCCCTCCGCCCCTGCGGCCACCCGATCCCAAGCTATGTGGGTAATGAAACTCAAGCCGGGGTTTAAGGCACCAAAAAAACAAAAAAAAAACCCAGTAGCACGAAGACTTCAGAAGAAAGCAACACCTTTTTAAACAAAGAATGTGCTTGAATCAACGAGTTTTGCAGCCCAGAAGCAGGACCAGGGCTGTTCTCTCTTTCTCTCCGTTAAGAAAAATGTCTAAAACAACTGAAATGACATCCTACAACTAGTTAAAGAAAAACACTACTTTTTTTCCCCTTCTCAAATTGTGAACATTCGGGCTGCTCCTCCGAGACAGCTCAGCATTCACCAATGGGACAGCTTTAGAAACAGCTGGACGACGATTCCCATCAAGTTCACGGAGTCTTACGTCCACTCGAGATCATCAAAAGACCTGCTGTTAATTCGTATTTTTTTTGTCCCAGGGAAAGGTGAGGTTTTTACATCACCCTAAACCTCCTTCCCTACGGTCGT